TATATGATTACATTCAAGGACAGGGTCTTTGCAATGGTGCCTTTGCCCTAAAGAGGAGATGAACATAGGCTTGTGAAGATCAAGGCGAAGCTCACTCTCAGAAGAGGGCGCATGTGCAAAGGTGGGAAGGCACATGTCATGGTCAACTCCCATGGCTGATGCATGACCTACCATGGGGAAAATGGCACAAGACGAAGTTTCAGAGTTGAGGATAGTATCACATAGCTTTGATTTGTACTATGGAGCACAGGGCATTTTCAAGAAAGTACACAATTAAACAATTATCTGAATTATTCAACCCCTTCCCCAATTTCAATAGAAAAACACAACTACAAATTTTCCTTTAGAGAGCAGAGAAAAAAATGACCATCAAATAGCTAGAATCATAGAGCAGCTGTTTGTAGCGGCTCTCATCTTACACATGCTGTGCTAGTCTGAGCTCCTTGAAAGCAGGGATTAACCCTCCATTTCTATTATGTATCTCTCCTATTGTGATTCATAAATAGAAATGTGCTCACTAAATATGTATCAAATTGAAGCCTGCTTAATAGTGGTCTGACATCCTTTTATGTGAGGCCAAATGGATGAAATGCTCTGAAAACACCCCTTCCCCCAGTATTTTATGCAGACGAAAGCAGGAGAGGACCCTCTTTCATAATGTGGAGGGTGAAGAATGGGACCACATTAGCCTTTTAGAGGGACAGTGTACTAGATTCCTACAGAAGTAAGCGTTGATGGTTTCAATGCAGAATAGCCCAGAAGGTATTTTTATTTCTCTATACAAATAAAGTGACTGAGAGAAATATTGGAGAGAAATGTGTGTGTGTGTGTGTGTGTGTGTGTGTATTTTGTGGTAGTTGTTTTGTTTTTGGTTTTTTCCAGACAGATCTCACTAAGCTGTCCAAGCTGATGATGACCTCCTCAACTCTGACTCCTCCTGCCTCAGTCTCCCGAGTGTCTGGGATGACAAGTGGGCTATGCTGAATCCCAGTACTGGGAATATATTTTTTTCTCCTTACCAGGAGCAACTTCTCACTAGACTTAAAAAGATTTTGCGTATTCACATTTGTGGCACTCTGCTGACACTAGGGGGCTCTCTTTGACTTCTAATTTGCTTCCCAGCCAAACATTCCAGATTTACTGTTTAGAGAAAATTTATTTATTAGCAAACTTTTTTACTTACTTTGGATTAGGTGGAATCTTGAAGTCGGGGAAAGAGATGATTCCAGTATAATCATTTTCTTCTATGATGTCAACTTCTGATCCTTCGGGATCCTTGAATGAAAACAGACAACTGTATTTTAGTTCATTTTCTGTTACTATAAACACATGTCTGAGACTGGGAAATTTATAAATTATGGAGGTTTATTTATGCTCATGGCTTCAGAGGTGGGGAATTTAAGAGGCTAGCAGTGTCACTGGGGAGGAGGGAGTGTTCTTTTTCATCCTATGGTGAAAAGAACTCATTTCCAAGAGAACAGCCGGAATTCATTCATAAGGGTAGGGCCATTGTGACCTAAATGCTTCCCACTGGACCCCACTTCCCAACATTGCTAGATTGAGACAAGAGTTTCTTAAAACTTTATTTATTTTTATGTGTGTGGGTGTTTTGCCCATATGTATGTAAGTGCATCTGTGCTCGCAAAGCCTACAGAGGCCAGAAGAGGATGTTAGATGCCCCAGAACTGGAGTTACTGACGGTTTTTAGCCACCATGCGGGTGCTGGGAACCAAACCTGGGTCCCCTGCAAGAGCAGTCAGTGCTCCTAACTGCTGAGCCATCTCTCCAGTAACTTTAGAAGGACACTTTCAGACCCTAGCTGCTCAAAGCACAGAAACTACATTTAAACTTTCTAAATGGTATATAATCTTTGACCTACAAAAAATGTTTCCCAGCAAACATCCATGCCGTCATTGAATGTGAAAGACAAAGTTCAAAGACTATGAAAGGTAAAGAAGGTCCATTTAAAGCTACTTCTCCCCCTCTTTTTAGACTTCCCCATCTGTCTTCATTATCCGTAAAAACTCCATGCTTTATTTACAATCGAGAGACATGCAAGCCCAGCATGATGGTGCACACCTATACTTGGGCAGATGTGGAAGGAAGATTATGAATGTGAGGCCAGCTTGGTCTACGTCAGAAGTTCCAGGCCTGAACTACATAATGAGACCCTGCTTCAAGGAAAAGAAAAAGAATAACAGTATATAAAGGGGGTAAAACCAAAATAACCCTGATGTTTTAATAAGATTTAATGAGAACCTAACAGGCTTTATAAGGATTAGAATGCAGTTTTTATATATCCCCATTTGGAGTTTTCTAAAAATTATTTTTAGTTAAACTATATATACATATATATGTTTATATATATATGTGTGTATATATATGTATCTATGTAGACATTTGAACAAACATTTGAAAGTTCTCACAGATCTTCCTCCTAAGTGCCATTTGGTCGGAGTCAGCAACATCTGGCTTTCTTTGAACTGTGCATGAGTTTCTGTGCAGCCTTAACTTAAAAACTTCATTTACCCTGGCTGAAATTCCCAATTTGAAATTCAGAATATTTTTCTTGAATTTCAGATTGTAAAACTCACAGAAGCCTATCTTGAGCTAGAGTGGTCCTCCTAGACTCATAGCTAAGAATATTCCCGGCTGGGCTTTGTCCTTCACATCATCATTCATAAATTCACCCAAGAGGGCCTTTCTCAAATTCTCTTTTCAGGATGCGTCCTACATCGGGACTCCCTGTGGCTCTGGGATCAGCTTCCTCAACCTGCTGTCCCTGGGAGTTCTTACGTGGATGACTGGCATCCATTCTTTTCCATGTGCCAGGTTTTGGCTTCACTCAAGTTCATTTATGGCAATGTGGGATTAAGAACACATGTCCCAAATAAACAGAAAAAACCCGAGAAAGCCTAAGCAAGTAATGAAGGTTTGCCAAGGTTTGCTTTGATACATAAAGGATGAGACAAAAATAACATACATGTAATCTTAAAATTTCTAAGGTCATAGTTTAGTCAACTAGTTTAAGGAACAAAATATATGTCTAATTAAGGTTTATCTGAGAACATTTGGTTTTTGCCCAAGCTTTATCTACATAGCACATGGTAATTAAAAGCACCAGACTGCTGGAACTAACCTTTTTGGGTGTTTAACAGCCATACTTTGAAGCCTATACTAATCTGGTTAGAGGGACTTAAAGGACAGTTTTGCTCCTTGCCCTCCAAGGTCAACTAAGTTCCAGGGGACTATGGAGCATCTCTAAAAATGTTCTGTAACTGTGGTGAGTCACCTGTTCTCTTGTTCAGGGAGGCCATGGAGACCCCACCACATGGACTTAAGCCAGCGTTCAGTCTACAAAGAGGAGGGTCAACTCAGAGGAAACATGTCTTCCACACTTCCAAGTGAAACCAGCCATGGTTAAGCAGGACCTTTGACTGATCTTCATATAGTTGGAACTGGTAAAAGAACGGAGCCAGGAGCTCCTCCCAAGCCCATGTGACCCCTGAGGAACAGATCCTCAAATGACCTAAAGAGTAAAAATAAATTGATTTATTTGAACCAACTGTATGGCCTTAAACACCCAAAAGGAAAGTATAACCAAAGAGTAAAGTCATCAGTATATTTCTTTAAGAGTTCAAGGGATTATACTTCCCAGACATTAGGCTTAAGTCCATATAAAAAGTTATTTAGACAATTGTTTCTCATTGATGATTTTTTTTTCTAATTGGAAAGTGCTGCTCAGGTGTAAGACTTCAAATCTTGGTCTGCAATACCGCAGTATCCACCTATAGCTAAGGGAGACAACCAGCTATTGTTCTAAAATGTTCGCAAAATTTGTTTTCTCCCGGTCTAGAAGCCTTTGAGAGGGAACTGACACTGATTCTAACCATTCCAACAGCTATCAAAATACCTGAAAGCAAATCCTGAATCCATCACTCTTGAGTCCAGCCTTGGCAGACAAAAGAAAAATGAGGAGGAACCCAATAGATGGATGCTTTTGGAAGCTCTCGTCAAGAAATGCCAATGGACTCTGATACGAACATTTGAAATTTGCCGTTTTGTCTTTTTTTCTGGTTCCCTATCTAGAACTTGCAATGCTAACTACTCTTGCCTTTACTTCTCCTTCACATCTCCTAGGCACCAGTCAAGGATTTTCTTTTCTCCCTATAGCTAAGAGTTATGCAATATGAGAGTCTTTTAGATAGACCCACTGAAGGGGTACCCCAATTGCCTCACCCTACATCCCTGTTCAGCATGGAAGAAGCCAGAGCGGTCTGCGTCCCAATTCCCTATCCACAAGTTGGGTCACCTCTTCAGAGGTTGGTGTGATAAGAATAGGAGGTAGGAATTGGCTAGGCAGTTAGGGTAAAAGGACCCTAAAGAAAAGTAGCCAGCTTCTTGGCTAAAAATCAGAATGTCTTTGAGCCTCTTAGCAATATACTCTGTTCCAAAGGCCAAAAAATGTCTAAAGTATTTGGAAGCTTGTATCTAATCCTTAAAATATTTTAGGGTTACCTATTCAGAGGGGGGACTGTTAAGTAGCAAAAAGCCCCATTTAAAAAAAAAGTACACAAAGTTGTTCAGGAAAAAGTGATGAGGAGATATGGGAGGAGTTGGTGTGGCCATGGATTGCAATACACACATACACATAAAAATTCTCAATAAATTTTTTTAAAGTTAAAAAAATTAAAAAACAATAAATAAAATATATAAAAAAGAAAAGAACAAAACAAAAGGAAAAAAAGGTAGCAGGGGTCATCTAGGGAAATCCTAATAAAATAGGTCAAAACAAAGAGCACATGTCCCTCCACCCCCAGGCCCTCATTCTCAGTAGGAGTCAGAACGTTTGGGCTGAAGCTCTGCTTGCCTCTCTTTCAGACTTCCTACCAGACAAGTACTTACTATGCTTGCCGTGTCTACACCATTCACATTTTCTTCTTGTAACTCATGCTAGTTCTTAAGTGGATGGTCTTTGTTATTTTAAAAGAACCCATGTCAATTCTTTTCATTAGGACATGGCTCAAGTTTTCCTTTCCCTCTTCCATTTCATAGAAGGATTACATCTCACTCATGTATTTTCCCTCTGAGTTTTTGACTCATTTGTTTTGAAAATTTTTTTTACTTGTTTATTTTTACTTCTTGTGTATGAATGGTTTGCCTGCATGTATGTATGTAAGTGCTCTCATGTGTGCAATGTCCATAAGGTCAGAAGAGGTGTCAGATTCCCTGGAATTGGAGTTACCAAAGGTTGTTAGCCACCATGTAGGTGCTGGGAATTAAACCCACGTGTTTTTCAAGAACAGCTAGTGCTCTTAACCACTGAGCCATCTCTCCAGCTCCTTGAGTATTTGCCTTAATGCATACTTGGTTTGGTATATATTCCAGTATGGTGTGTTGTTTAATATGTCCTCTTTTATGTGTACATTCTAAATGTGTTTGAGTATGAAAAAATGTGCCTCAGCCTATAGTGAAATGGCATTTCTAGGACAACCACTATTAAAAAGTGAGCAGTTATGACAGTGTAGAGCATTTATTTTTCTTAGGTGTGTAAATTAGACAAAACCCTGGGACTTAATTCCAAACTTATGAACTGGGTAGGACTAGGGAAATTTGTTTCTTATCTTTTTCTATGATCTGATAAGTGGTTGATAATTGCTGAGCATGTTAGTATATTAGTTATTAAATTCTAAGTTCCTCAAAAGTAAGTACCATGGGTTATAATTCTTTACTTTAAATTATACAAATCACAGTCTTGTGCATAATATTCGATTAATATTTGATGGATGTGCTTTGAAAAAGAGCAGCAAGGGTAGATTTAGATGGTTTAGTTCAAATCCTTCCATTTGGTGAATTTGTTTTTATGATTTTTTTACATGTCTATTGTAGAGTATAAATCTACAATGCTATAGTCACACTAGGTGTTTAATAACCACTTGTGTGACATCAAACAATTTAGTATAGTGTGAGAATGGGATCGTGGAATAAGATCTCCGAAAGAAAGAGGTAAAGTATGATTTTAATAAAATACTTACTATGAAAGTTAAGACAGTTTCTCTTTTGGCTGGCTTCAAGTCATCATCCAGGGAGTAAACTCTAACCTTTACTGCAAAAATAAGGAATATCATCAAGAACTGCTAAACACAAATGGATTTTAACTTATTTAATTAATTATTTTACTTTTCATATCTTTAAAACATCATTTTTTGAATATTTTAGTTATTTGTGTGTGTGTGTGTGTGTATGTGTGTGTTTAAGTGTTTTGCCTCTAAGTGTACCATATGTGTGCAGTACCTGTGGAGGCCAGAAGAGAACATCAGATCCCCTGGATCTGGAGTTACAAAGATTTTTAGCTACCATGTGGGTGCCAGGAACCGAACCTGGGTCCTTGGCAAGATTAGTCAATGCTCTTAACCACTGAACCATGTCTCTAAGCCCTATATTTATTTATTTTTATTTTATGTGTGTGAGTGTTTTGCCTATATGTACATAAGTGCACCATGTGCATGCAGTGCCTGTAGAGGCCAGAAGAACTGGAGTTATGGACAGTTGTGAGCCACCATTTTGGGTTCTGGGAACTGAACTCAGGTCCAAGAGTAGCAAATGCTCTTAACTGCTGAGCCACCTCTCCAG